AAAGCTTAAGTTGTCGAAAGAAGACCAGGAAATAAATGTTAAAGTAAAATTTGCTTTGACAGACTTTTGAGCCTAGTATTGCATATTTTTCAGCATATAATGCAGAAAGATGGTGTAACAGGATTACTAAATTGATTGAATTTTCTTGAGAAGGGAGAAAAAATGAAAAAATCTGAATCAGTCATTTGTTCATCGTAATTAATAAGTTAATAATAATAATAATTAATAATAATAATTAAGAATGTCTGAGATTTGGTATATGATAAATGAAGGTTGCATGGAAAAGAGCAGCTGGTAACTGATAGTGCTTTATTAACTATTTTACATTTAAAAGACGAGCATTTAAAACTGTAGGAGATTGCATCTAGATTTTCATTGGCATCCAATTTTTCCATGTGTGAATGTATAACCACCATGTAAGATTGCTAAAATTCCAGTATAATGGATATGGTTTGTCATTTGCTTTAATGCTATGTGGCTTCTTCTTGTGACCAAAATGAGCTATAGTATCCTCTGCCTAACCACAGCATTTTGCTTTTGTAAGGGATGGGACATCTTTCAGGTGTGGAAATCTTCACTGTTTCAGCAAACAGAGAGTTATAGATGCCTGTCTGACTACACCGAGCTGATGATCTGAAATACAATTGTCTCCTCAATTAGTTGCAAAACCTCATTAACATTTTTGAAGGGAACTCGAAAACCAGCAGGATTTGTGTATAAGAATACTCATGTAAATCAATTTTTGTAAAATCTAGTTTGTGTAATTTTTCCATGATTAGAAAATTAAATCTTAGATTATACAGTTGCTATATGATTTAGGCATTTCTTTAGGAAAGAAATACTCTGGAAAAAAGAACAAAGAAGTATATATTCATAATTAATCTCTTTAGAAACTTAAAAAATCAAGTAGTTAACCCTAAGAAGCTATGTGGTGACAGGACACCATTGCACAATTGTGATATGTAATATTGGAGTGGTCAGTAAAAAAAAAAAAAAAAAATAGGAATGATATGTTGTAAAGTTCAGATGCCCTTTCTCCCACTATCACAAAATGTGTAATGGTATTGTATTTGTTTTCCATAAAAGAAATTGGCAAATGAGGCAAAAGATTTGTACCTTTAGAGAATATTAATACAAAATTATGTGGTTTATTATTTAAAGTTATGTCCATTGTTCAACCAAAATTGTCTCAGATGTGGAATGATTTTTTTAACAGAAAGAATGATTAGGTGTGGATAGAAGTGGCAATTAAGTTATATACAGTTCTGAAATACACAGTGTACCCATGTCCAACTTTTGTTTTGCTTTGGGATGTTTTTTATTTTTCCAAGTTCATAAATATGTTGTAAGAAAATGTCAGGTGGGATATTCTTCACTCGTAAGTAATGTGTTCCATACATGTACTGTTTCTTTTGTGAATAACCTGGACATTGTCTGTAGGAATATGGAAAATTCAATTCATATTAAATTAAGAGGAGTAAATGAAGAATTTTGTGGATATTATTCACTCTTAAATGTTTAGAAATTTGATATCAACTGAAAATTGGGGAAAATGCAGCTATTGTACATTTCCACAGATATTAATGAAAATATCCTTTTTTATCTTTTGTATATCAGTTGGAATGGGCAAACATTAGTTTAGAAATGATAGGGAATGTTAATTATTGTATCAAATTATATGCACGCATTTGGAGCTTTAGGATCGTTATTGGAGTTTTGTACTTCCAGTTGTTTTTTAAGATTTTGTAATCGCCCAAGCCATGGGAGCCCACTTTATCATTTTGTATTATCATTGTAATGTTATCATTCTTATTATCATGATTATTGTTATCTATATTTTCATTTAGATTGTGGTCATTATTATTAATAGGTATTTATTTTTATACATGTTTGGATACTTGGAATATATGTATAAATTATCAGCCACTCATTGTTTTCACATATTCACATATTGGTTTGTTATCTTTTTCTCAGTGTGGAATATATTGCTGCTTGGGCCAGGAATGCTGCAGCCTTGTATCATGTTGTAAATATGTAAAAGATTTGTAATAAAAATTGTTGTTCAGTTTTTGTTTATTTTATAATCAAATGCTGGTTTGTCATTATTCTCGTTGCTGCTACTACTATACACAGCTGTTATTATTATTGTTGTTTTTATCATTATTATTATTAAAATTGTTATTATTACTATCATTATTGTTATTTTTGTTATTATTGTTGCTGTTATTGTTAATATTATTATAGTTATTGTTAGTATTATTATTATTATCATTATCATTATTATTATCATCATTATTATTATTATTGTTATTGTTGTTGTTGTTGTTGTTGTTGTTATTGTTATTGTTATTATTGTTATTATTATTATTATTATTATTATTATTATTATTATTATTATTATTATTATTATTAATCACTATCATCATCATCATCATCATCATCATCATCATCATCATCATCATCATCATCATCATCATCATCATCATCATCATCATCATCA